GAATGTTCAATTAGCATATGTGAAAAATGAATACTCCCCTTTCATTATGCATAATTAGGGTTTTCTAGACTGAAAACATCCACAGCTGAACCTCAGAACCTCAGCCAACATCTTCCACCAAACAGTACTACGGCAGCTTGAGTTGGATTTATGTGGTGGGGATCATAATATTAACTTGCGACCTATTCATCTATTAACTAGGTTCTAAAGTGTAGCTAAATTTAATTTACCACATATTAATTAATTAAACTGCATACAAATTCCAGTGTCATTTAATGCATTTTACACAAAGTAAACAATTACAGGAAGCCAAAAGTCTGATACAGATATGGTTGTTAAGTGAATCCAAACCTAATGTGAAAGATAAAGTTGTCCCTGAATTTAATCAATTAAGCACTACGTCATGAAGACGTAAGGGGCAAGTGGAGATATACCCCCACTATTCTTGACCTTGGCACTAGATGAAGAAGTCAACTGACACTCCACTTACTTTGTAAAATACAAAATTTACCCCAATTAGTTTAACACTTACATTCATTATTTATTTTTATTCATAAGTTAGGCAGTCTGTTGTGTGTATCACCAATATACATTATACCCATCAATCACAACTTTTCGTTTTCAACACTGATGTTTATTGAAATGTTACCATGCTACATGTTTCAATCTTTCGACAATCATCTGGCATTCCTAAATAATAAGTTGAGTCACTAATTGTTATTAAACTGCTCATGTCACGTATCCATTGGAATTGATCTTGTCATGTAAGTGCAAGAATGCATAGAAGTGTTTATCTGTAAACTAAAAATATATTGAAGAAAGCCATCTTCTGGGATAAACATATCATAACAAATGATAATTATGTATTTCATTACTTGGGTTTTTATGTTCTGTGGTAGGTTTCTGGATCCTGTCTGTTGGTAGTATGGTGATGTTAGTTTTTACTGTTTCCTGATAAGGGGTGTTTGTGATATTACCGTTGATGTAAATTAGAGTCATAAGTACTTAAATGTGCATGTCTATATAATTACTTGTTGAGGTTTGATTTTGTTGCTCCTGTAATGATGTACTGCTTGGTTGTGTTGTTGAGAGTGAACTGTGGTTTTCTTCCAGTGAGTTTAGATGTATGTTAGGTGGGGGAAGGGGGTGGGGTAGCACGGTAACTTTTCAACAAGCATCAATACTGGAAACAAAAAGTTCGGATTGACAGATATGTTTATAATGACATTATTATTTGCTTGAACTCTCACCCTTATGGTCATTCATGTTCCAACAACTCAAGTGTGTGTGTTGCTTTGATTCTGAGTTCTCTGTTAAGATTAGGCCTACATTGAATTCAAAAGTCTATTTCACAGCTATTATTTACTGGCAAACATTTTTCTTCCCTGGTGACAGAATTTTTGCCCTTATTCTTATGGTGTTCATCCCCTTGCACCATTCACAACGATAAGATTCTGATGATGATGTAGTTCTAAATATCTCTTTTTAATTTGTTTTAACCCCAATGAAATAAACCTTTTCCCTTGTAGACAACCCATCTGTTCATCCAAGTAGTCTGCAGGGGTATTCTGTCATTATTTCATAAAATTTATGGTAACTGTCTTAACTTACTCATAACCTACTTTAGAGCACTTGTGTTGTAAAAATGTTGAACTCAAGTCTCTTGTCTTGTAGTATGTCTCATCCTATTACATGTAAAAGGTAAGGTAAAGTTGTCCCTGAGCTTAATTAAGCACTAAGCTATGAAGGCATATGAGGAGTGGACGTATAGAGCCACATTTTCATGACATCAGCACTAGTTGGAGGTGAGTGGTAAGCTTCACACCCCTGGTACCCACTGAATACGAGACTGGGTGGGCCCTACCGGGACTCGAATTCCAACCCCTCCATTATCGTGCCCATAGCCAGTTGCTATACCGGCTCGATCCTTTACGTGTTCTTCAGTTTATTATACATACTGATTATAAAGAGCAAAATCCGTGGCATATTATTTAAATTAGTTCATATCTTTAATTGTAATAATAGTCAGATGATTCAACCCTCAAAATTGCAAGGCAGCTTACACCACCTGACAGCAGTCTTGGTTAAAACTAGCAGTCAGTGAGTGGTGATGTACAACTTTACCATCACACAATATTCTGTTCAGTTTTAGTTTGTCCCTTGGACTGGGGAAAGAGCATAAGCATCACGGAACTTGGACCTCAAATGGGAACATACCCTCATGAATACTGTGTATACACTTGTTCCCTTCAATTTTATACAAAATGGAAGCCAGGTTTATTACAATAATATTGGATGTTCAGCAAATATGACACAATTACAAACGTTTTACACTGGTTGCACAAAAAGGTGTCATTAAAGAATTAAGGGAAACTCATTCACAGTTTGTCAAATGACGATTAGTAGAGATGATCCCCACCATCTTCAAGATAAAAGCTGCCACAAAGCAAGTGAATCATAACCTCCTGATGCTGAACAGTGCTGCCTCATTTTCTCCTTTATCCTTTTATTTTAATTATCACTGTGCACTGTATTTAACATGTGGAACCAGGAATTTGTGGGCTTCTGATATGTGACAGCACCTAGAGAAATTAGGCATCAGTATCGCACTTACTGGAGGGGCAATGACTGTTTTGAAAACTTTACAAGAGATAATTAGTGAATCCCAAGGAGAATCATTTTACATACGTTCCAACTTTAGTAGAGAAGTGTACTCATGTACCTTAATGAGAGATCGCTAACAAAAACACATTCAATATTAATTCTGAAAATAAAAAAAAGAACTACTGGCATTGAAGAAACATGAAGTATTCAGAGAGGTGAAGATGCTCAATACTTGATTCCTGTCACAGACTTGAAGAGCTATTAGAAGATCAAACTGAGAGTATCAGCCGAAGAATGGTACAGGGAATCAGGAAAAGGAAGGAATAACTTTTGAGTGCTACTACCAAAACAATGGAAGACCTTGGTTCCAGAGATTCAAGTTTCAAAGAAAATCTCTCGTCGCAATAAACAGAATAAGAAGTGGCCATCATTGTCTAAAAGAGTGCCTTATTCGATTTAATATCATTAATAGAGAAATGTCAGTGGCGTAGTTGGTTGAGGGGCTATGCTACAAGCTGGAAGGTGTGGGTTCAAGTCCCGATGAGGTCATTGGATTTTTTTCAATTGACCTAATCCGCACTATGGCCCTGGGGTTCACTCAGCCTCTAACAGAAATGAGTAACAGGAATTAATTAAATAATTTTCCTGGGGAGTAAAGCGCGGCCGGCACGTAAGGCTGACAACATTACTGCCATCTTTGAGCCAAGTGTCTAGATAATGTGGGACCCTCAACGTCTCACAACCCTATGGGCCTTCACGGCCCGGTACAAGGATAGCTTTACTTTTTTTTTTTAATACAGTAATGTGTGAATGGGGCAAAGACAAACAAACTAAAACCACATCGTATGGCAGCATAAGTTATTTTGGGAATTTGAGTGCATATGATAGATGGCTTAATGAAATGTAAACATTTCCACCGTATTGTAGGGAAAGCATTCTGCATTGTAAGCTACTGGAAGCCATAATCCCAACAGTGTAATTTATCGACAGCGTTAATATAACTACTTTAAGGATAGTTCAAAGCCCTGTTTTTACACAAGAATAACTAAAGAGTGTTCTAAAACTTTATTTGCTGGCAAGATGGGCTTTTCAGTTTAATGCCACTTGTATCCCTTTAAGCCAAATAAAAAAATGTAAGAATGTTCAGCAATCTTGGTCAAGTTAAAGAGTAGCGTTATGTGCAAAGAAATGGAATCAGTTTCAGAACCTTCTCCAACAGCACATTCTGTATTTTGTTATATGTGTTTTCAATGGTGTTCTGCTCACTGCCAAATGTATGGAAATAATGCCAAAATAAAGCTGTCTCCAGGTGAACTTCATCAGATGTTCTGCACTGTTTTCAAAGGGTAATCCTGTCATATTTTTTTGTAACATACATTTAAAGGTCCTCCTACACACATATCTTGTTATAAATATATTTTATCTCACATCACTGTTTGGTTGCAGTTTATCAACATTTTTATGTAACAAAGAAGTTTCAAAGTAATTCAGGCTGTTAATCTACAATACCAATATACATATAAAAGAGAATGTAGACAATAAATATGTTTGTGCTTAATGTATACTTAGTATACAAATATGGTTTATAAGATAAAATGAAATACATTTCTTCATTTACTTGATTTTCCAGCCACCTCTAGAATTTCTATGGAAATATATTTTTAATTACTATTCTCTTCTTTGGTATACAAATACTTGAATAAAGCCTATTAAATCCACTATCACTGTTCATCAAAGGCCCAGGCTGCTTCCAACAGTTTATTAATAATTCTAATTCTAGCAAGTCTGTTCTATGGTGGTGTTAGACAGCTTCAGTTGCAGGAATGTGGATTGGGTGTTTTGCCTCTGCTCTTGATTAGAAGACATGTGGTAATCTTAGTTATATCCGTTACAATGCGTTGTCAAGAATCCTGCTGATCATCCTGCCTCTGTTCCCTAAGGAGAGTCACTTCCACAACCAGGACAATATCCCAGATTTCATTTAAAAAGTTAGGGGACTCAATGATGGTTAAAATGATCAAAATATACTACTGAATCCTTTCTGTGAATAGAAATAAACTCAGCACAAACAAGAAAAGTCCAAACACTCAAAGGAGAATATCAAGATTCCATTAACTGTCGTGTTGCTATATATAGTGTATAATTTCCATATCAGAATGTCTTAATCTCCTGCTCCTCACCAAAACCCTGCATACTTTAGACCTAGTCCCAGAACTTATCTAACCTGTAACAAATGAGTGGTTAGTATTCATGTTTACCTGGGATCAAGTTTTGACATGGAAACAACTGGCTGTATTCTAGATAATGAGTCATTAGTCTTCTCTAAACCCTCTGGGGAAAATGTATTTTACACTATGCTGCAACAATTTGTTCCATATCCTCTCCAGTTCATCAACCACAATCATCATCCCACTGGATACTACATAACCCACACAACCGAATAATTGTTACTAACCTTTACTATCCAGATTTAAATCTCCCACTATTACAGTTCTGCCAGCTAGATTTAAACTTAATGGTAACAGAATTTATACCGTAAAAATTGCAATTCGTGACCCGCTGAACCAACATCTACCATCATGGGTGTGCAACACATGATACAGTTAAATTCATAAGAATCAATCAAACCCAAACTGAAACCTTGAATATACCATTTTCTTCTGATTTGGATTTAATGGAAAATAACCTGTCTTGTCACAGAATCTGATTTGACACTTATTGAAACTCTCAAAATATTATTGTTTTGTTCTTCAGATTGTTGCAGCTAAGGTGCAAAATATAACAAAATTTGTTAAAAAATTTGGTTGGGGTGAAGGAACAGAGATGCAGTTTCCTGATATATCTGATTGTTTCAGTTTATAACTTAATCACCATTAGAATTAAAAATTAATTAATGAGAAAATGCATTTTCCTTCATGCATTTCCTGAAATTTTAGATAGAAAAAATTAATTTTCAACCTTTCTCACTTGGAATTCAATTCTGGGCCTCGCAAATGGACAGTGAAATACTGAACCTCACCTTCTGGAAAAACAACACTTTGCTCCTAATTATTTTCATTTATATTTGTGTATGTCCATGCTGAGAGACCAGAAATGCATCAAAAACTCAGCTCATTCTCACAAAGAGTACAGCTTACGTACATATAAATTGTGTCCTAATCTGGGGAAATCACATACAAATGATATGGTGATATTCGTAAAAGAAAACTTCAGCATGGACACATGTAATTCAGTATATTAAAGGGTAAACTATGTAAATGAGACCAGTCTCACTGATAACATCAAACAGAATAACACACACTGATACATACAAATTTATCATGCATTCACATACATTTTCACATTAATGAATAATTTGTTCTTAGCTGCTGGAATGTGTTCCTGCCATTTTAAAATGAGGAAAAAACACATCACTTGGATGCAATGTGAGATCAGTGATTCTTGTCATAAGAACTGATCCATCTTTCTACTATAGGGAAAAATGACAAAATATCCAAGTCTATAAAAGTGTTATACCACCGAAACAAATCACTGAAAAATATATAAAGCAAACCAGTTTCCTCCAGCAACTCTTGTTCTGGCAAATGAAATGAATGAAATCCATCTTCTACCTTGGAAAAAACCTGTTATATGTTGCACATCAGTAAAAGCTGGTGAAACCAGTAACAGCAGAATCACACTCCACCATTACTGTCTTCTAATTTCATCATTGATACTGTGGATTCTCCATAAGAAATCTTTTAAGCCTGGAAGGATAGTCTGTCATTACTCCAGTAGCACCCAGCTCAAATGCTTTTCTAAATTCATCATCATCATTCAGGACCCATAAATATGTCTGAAAGAAGAAAAGACACATGGAATTGCTGCTTTAAAAAAGAACAATAAAACAATAACTGCAATGTGATATCTACCACATATACACTATTTTCTCACTTTATGAAGTGGATGCATTCCTTGTTGAGTCATTAATTCAGTGGAAATCATTCTACAATAATTAATAGTAATAATTATAAATATGGTTACCAGCTTTAATATGCACATAAATAAATGGTAAAGGATGATAAATATAATGAACAGTAACTCATTAGAAACAACAATTAAAATGAACACACAGAATAAAATACAAAAGGAATAAATAAATTAAAAGTAAACAAAGTTAAGTTATTCAATATTTACAGACAGTGACATGGTCACTAGAAGCAGTAGAAGGTGTGGAATGTTGGGTACAGTAGCACAGAGAGACAACCATGGAAATATCTATAACAAATATTTATTTATTGCTGTTAGAAGAGTATACAGATGAGCGGGCAAGCAGGCAGAGTGTGCGGTAACCAGTGAGGTGTTGTAGGCCCTGAAAAGGGCCATAACTCAAAGGCAGAGCACACCCAATAAATGCAGGCAAATCTCTGGCTGCAGTGGGCTGGTTCATCTGTCTTCCTTGCATTGGCAGCTGGCTCACTGCAAGCCAGCTAGTCTCCCTTGTGTGAGCAGCTGGGCAACTGCAAGCCTTCCAGTCTTCCTTGAGTCAGCTGATGGGAGCTGCTGCTAGGAGACTCACTGTTGCTGTCTGCACTCCTGATAAGTTGTCTCAATGCAAGCATGGCTGCGACTGACTAGCGTGTCAGAGATCCGCATCTTTATATGCTGTCACTAGTGGTGTCTGACCCAGTGGGCATTGGAGCTGCTGTGGCCCATGCTGATTGACTAGCGCTTGCTTCAATGTGGGAGGCTGCCACATTGGCTTAAGTTCTGATGTTTCTTGAAATTTTTTGGGTGTAGCAAAAATTCATTATTCACCATGAAAAAGGAATACACATTTTTAAATGCAATTAATATCAACTTGACATTTATAAAACAGTTACTTTAGTGTCTTTTTTGTAGCCTTGTGGTTAAGGGGTAAGGCACTGGACTGCTGTCCTCAGGTTCTTGGGTTTTGACTTCCCTGCATGCCTTCCCCATTCCATACTTGAGAAGACCAAAACTTAATATATGTGGGCAATACCAGACATATTATGGTCATGACATCCCATTAAGCTACAGGGTTCCTCTACTGGCCATCATCTCCTTATCACCATATCAGTAACAGCAAAGGGAATTCTAACCTGTGGGTGCCACCACCCCAGAAATAAATTCCTTCACCCTTTGCCAGGCAGAGACAAGAAAGGAATAAGCTGTAACTAGATGTATTTTAAAAATTTATAATCATTTCACAGCCACAAGATCTCTGCACATGGACACAGTGTAATCCAAGTTACAGTGCAACTACCTTCATGTCTATTAGTTCCTGTCACAGTAGGAAAGAGAGGAATTCCAATTCCTCTCATCATCATCATCAGTAATCTGTCAAGACGACAGGTCCACAGTCTCTTTCAAAACAATTCCTCCACTTAATGCGATCTAGAGCTTTCTCCTTCAAATGACAGTATCCTCTTCTGTCCCCAAGGTCATCCAGCATCTTCTTACGTCTTCTTCCTCGTCTTCTTGTCACTTCTATCCGCCCATCTATCTTTCCTTCGATAGCTTCTTTTAGAAGGCAGTTTCTGCGTAAAACATGACCAATCCAATTAGCCTTCCGTTTTCTTATTTCATGTAGGATATTCCTCTGCTCACTGACTCTAATTAACACTTCTTCATTTCTCACATAATCGGTCCAACTGATCTTCTCCATTCTTCTCCAACACCACATTTCGAAACTTTCCAGATGTTTCTGATCTACTGCCCTAAGTGTCCATGTTTCAGCCCCATACAGAGCTATGCTCCAAATGTAGCATTTCACTAGTTTCTTCCTCAAATTTAAGTCCAATTTGCTGGTAAAAAGATTCTTCTTCTTGCTAAATGCAGCTTTTGCCATGGCAATCCTGGATTTAATTTCACAAGTACACCTTCCATCATCTGTTAACAAGCTACCCAAATATTTAAAACATTTCACATTCTCCACTTGTTTTTGGTCTATCTTTATTGTGACTGGGGTTGGTTGTCTCGAAATTTTCATTACTTTTGTTTTCTCCACATTCATTTCCATGCCATAGCACCTTCCGATTTCAATTAGTCTATCAATCATGCCCTGTAGCACAGTTTCTTCCTTAGCCATTAACACAAGGTCATCTGCATATTTCACAGTTTGAATAATTTGCCCTCCTATTTTGAAGTCACCGAGCCCATCCAGAGCTTCCTTGGTAAGGCATTCGCTGTACAAGTTGAACAGAATTGGTGATAAACAGCATCCTTGTCGAACTCCTCTTCCAATCTGCACACTTCCTGTCTCCCCCCTGTCCAGTCGTACTCTAACTTTTCCTCTATTGGAAATCAAAATTCAATCATCCAGGCCATGGCCAGTCACTTTACTGAGCTCTTGTGACAAAGAAACTATAATTCTGAAGCTATACCATCAAGTGTTAAATTCTACTAAAAAGAAGTAACTGCTAAAAACTTACCTGAATGCCTCGTTTACTTAGATGTTCAAAAAGTGATTTCTTCATTAACAGACAGTCCACTGTTCTTGCCAAAAATGAGTGGAATGGAAGAAAGGCTGCATTTGGATTTGTTTTTCTCCTGCTGAAATATAACATAACATACTGCTCCAAATACCACATGTATATTCTTCTCTAAAAATGTTCATTAAAAAAAAAAAAGAGAAAACATCAGTAATACTCAAGGGTTTGATCTGGGAAGAATAAAATGTTACATGCATCCATATACAAGACACAGTAACAGATTTGGCAACATCTTTGCATGTGCTGTACAAGTATCTTTATTTACTTTACTAAATATATCATTGCCGTCCACATTACATCTTCTATTATAACACGTTCTTGGGTCAACGATAATTACATCTGTTGAAGATTAACTAAACAAAGTGACTGCAATCATTTACTGCCTACAATAAATTAGAGGAAGTGGAGGAGGATATGAAGGAAGAGGAGAGAATGAATAAGATGAAGTGGGAGGACAAGGGGATGAAGAAGTAGTGAAGTTAAAGAAGGTACAGAAGCAGAACAAAGAGGAGAACCCCACTACAACAAGTCTGAAGTGAATGGAGGTTGCAAGGGACTGCAGGAAAAAAGAAAATCTTTTCCTATAAAAATAAGAAAGAGTGGACTTTGAACAGACAAAAAGTGATACTTCTAGAAGTAGAAAAAATGTTCTTCTTATTTAAATGAGAGATAGCAGTTTGGTTATGTGGTTTCAAGTGAAATGTATCAGCTGGCAGCACTAGAAAGTGCAGAAGAAATAGAAATCCAAGACTTCAGCACTAGTAGAGGTAGGCTGAGGAAGTTTATAAAGAAAATAATTCACTTGTAAGACAGCAAACAGGTATTGTACAAATGCTTCCCACACAGCATTCAAAGAAAAACCGTTAGCTTCTCAAAACTGTCAATAGACTGAGGAATCAACACTTTTAAATCTTTAAAGCACACCACTAGAACCCACCCTGAGTAATCTGGATCCAGCTTACACCCTCCTACCCTACTTACAATCCATTTCATATTATCCACCCATCAACCAGTCAAGTCTTGACAGAAGGTAGAACTCTTCATAACCACTGCTGTGAGAACTTAAAAAGAGTCCTACAAGTTTTTTTTTTTACTAAAATTCAGTGTGCATGTCTAATCTAACTATGTGTGCTGCATGTCACACCCTTCTCAATGAACTTGGACAATGAGCCAATAAAAGCATGCAATTTATATAATTATTTATTTTAGACATGGAACCACAATCACAAACATGAGAATATCCTAATTAAAGATATTTTAACAAAATTACACAACATATGCAGTACTCTGATCTGAGGTGTGAGTTCTTACCATTATATTTTCATCTGTATATTATGCAAGTATTCAACTGTTAACTTGTTGTACTCAAATAGACTTATTTATTGTGTAGTTTTTTAATTGTTCTCCTTTATATCAATATGTTTCTCTTCCTGAAAATAACCTCATTTTTGTACCTCTTTTGGCTTATTTTGAACTTCACCTATCCTCTGGTATGTAAAAGACAAAAGACCACGACATTTCGGAGACGGGATCTGTCTCCGTCTTCAGGTGGATAGGGAAGGATAAACCTACTCAGTTGGGCCCGTTAGAAAGAGCTAGTCTCAATCACTGGTCCAGTGGTCTTTTGTCTTTTACAGACCAGATGATGGGTGAAGTCCAAAATAAGCCAAAAGAAGTACAGTATACACCATCGTCAGAATCCTTTCAAGTCTAACCTCATTTTTGTTCTTGATAAGAACAGCAACACTTAATTCAGTGAAATTATTCAAAGGCCATGCTCTCTGCTGCTTTGAATATGGTGATACACTATACTGCTGTAGTAATGGAAGCAAAAGTTGAAGTAAACATGTGGTAACTGCAAACTGCCATGGTAACATATCTACCTTAAATAAATTGATGGCAGGAATACTTCCAGATGAGTTTCTTTTAATGGTACAAATGGCAGGAGTCCTGAGTACATTAGAAGCACAAGATACACAACTTGCCGCATGGAAAAGAGCAAATTAACACGTGGGTTCTGGAAAATAAAAATTAATTACTTCTATTAACAGCAGAAATAAAGTTAAGCATTTATTTCCAGAGCTCCTGAAATACATTCTGCATATATGAGTAAATTTACAAAATTCACTGACCCATAGTCTCACAACATACTTCCTACCAGTTTATTAACACACTCATGAGTAAGAATGAGGATTTCTGGAGTCCCATCTGTATTAATTTCACCACAATCAGATCACAGAAAAAACATATAATAACCAACTCCATAGTACAAGGTATTCCTTGAAATACTAATAGCTATTCATCTGATTAAAAAAATTCTTCCTTTATGGATTGCAAAACTGATATTTATGTTCACTATGGTCCACTGCTGTTAAAAGGTTTGGATCACTGAATGTATAAGTTAAGACATGCCGGTCACGGTAGCCAAGCGGTCAAAGGCATGCACTGTCTTCGCTCGCTCGGAAGCCGAGATCGTGGGTTCGAATCTCACTCAGGGCATGGATGTTTGGTGTGCGTTTTTTTGTGTTTGTGTACAGGTAGAGGCCTTGCAACGAGCTGATCACCTGCCCAAGGAGTCCTACCGAATGTCTAAGATATAGTAAACCGAAGTGAAACGGAGAGTTTCATAGAGGTAGGCCTAGGCCCAAATTGGGGCCGTAGTGCCAAAGAAAAAAAAAGGTTAAGACATGTATGCATAGCATAACAATTCTGGGGAATTTGTTCCCTTTAAGGGAAATTACCTTAAAAACTGTTAATATTTATGGGAAAACTGTACTGAATATAAAATGCTGTCTACAGGCAATAACAGAATGAATATGCCAAAATTGATTTACCACACATTTGTGTAATAAGTTGTTTGAAGTGGTTATCATGTAGATATGATAATAACTAGAACAGTTGAACATTCTCATCACATTTAGCATTAGCTAAACTGACAGGATAAAGTTACATAAACCCATGTAAACATAACCAATTATTTATTATGAGCTGTCCTTTACAAGCAAAGTCTCACCCACCATTTGCTGCAAATCTCCAACTCACAAAGTCAAACTGACTCAATATGTACACCAAGTTATGGGCCAGTTGTAAATATAGCAGAGTCACTGGACTCTTCCTTGCTTTGAAACTGTAAACTCCAGAACACTTAAAAGTTTCCAGTCTATAAAGGAGTCTGAAATGAATGACTTGGCCTTGTTCAGTTGTTCTGAACTGGTGTGGTATGAGCTTTTTCTCATACTTTGGGTTTGCCTTCAATACGATGAATGATGTTAAAAATTCATTTCACACTATCTTTTTACTTTGAACTTCGATGAGTCATCAACTTTACACAGACATATTGCTTCAAAGTTCCTATTCAAATCTAAGCACTTTCATTCAGTGCCATAATTAGGGCACAGCATACACAAAGAAACTTCCAGCTCTCATTCATTAGTCAAGCAAAACAATACAAAATGAAACAAGTTACTGCACTGAAGAGCAAAGAAAACATGTGAAAGGCCTGCCTAAAATTTGAAGGGGACTTAAGCTTGAAATCAAGTCATGTTAAACGCGATTCTAAAAATATAATCCTCTACTCTGGCTATATAACTTTTTTAGAAGTCATCCAGTGGTTTCTGATAGTGTATTAAAAACATTGTGCACACATGTGCTAAGCATTTTAGCCTCAATTGTACTGAATATCAGATTCTGGAATGTGGAGTTTTCTCTACCAGACAAGGGACAGGCAAGTTTAATGTGGTTCAACAGCACGTTTAGCACCAGCTACAAACTGCTAGGAAACTAAACCTGTAAAGTACAGTTGATGCAGAACATTGTGGAAAAGAATTTTCTGCCGGCTAGGAATTGCTTGTTATGATAGAAGAACTGGAAAAATGCTATCACTTGATGTAAGATTTTTCCAGATACATAACATTAAAAAACTGTTAGTTTCAGTGATTTATCTTGCTATAATACAGTTATTGTTCCAGCAAAATTACAATGTGGTAGAAGTATACACTAAAGGTGATTAATTATGCGCAGAAATAGACACTCAGTTTTGTAATTAATAATTTATAGCATGTGTTCATCTTCCCATTTAGGTGGAAGCATTTAAAATAAAGTAGGCATCATAATTTCTTCTCAGAACTCCTTATTACACTGAAAAGTTGCCACAAAGAGTCCCAGTAATACGAAGTAGCATTTGGCTAGGGCATGTGGCACCTCCGAATCACTAACTAGAATGCAGTCAGAAGTTGTACTAGTGGAAATTACACACCCAAACTAAAAATGAATCACTAAACTGAATTATTTGATCACAGTTCTTGTGTCACACCACACATATGTATAATGAAGCATATGGAGGAAAGTATGCAACACAAGTCCTTCCCACTTTTTACTATAAACATGAAGACTCAACTATTCATTTCTGAGGTACTTACTTCAGCATAACATTTCCTAGTAACTATGTCATTGAAATTTCCCCACACTGTATATTCTTCACGGTTGTATTTGGTAATAAGATTGGAAACTTTCTTAATTAGCAAGTCATTATCAACTTTAATATCTATGTTGATGGGAACCTCTGGAAATTTTTTAAAAACATCTTCCAATAGGGTGAACCTTCGTTCCTCTGGTTTTCCTGAACCAACAAATGTTTTACCTGCAGAAAGACAGTAAACATATTTATATTTATTCAAACAAATATCTGAAAGACTTTCTATATTGCTACTGGAAACTTGTAAACATAACACTTATGTCAATATGAAAGATACACAGTGTCTAAATTATCTTCCAAAGAAGATTCTTCATGTTGGAAAGCAAGATTTTTAAACACTAAAACTGTGAAGCAAGTTTATGTGTTATGCATCAGCCCAATTATACTTCCCATGGCTCACAATGTTTTAACTCCCATTACTGTACACGGTGTTATCTCCAGTGTCAAAATGCCATATTGGAACAATGTGTGTTCATGTATAATACCTATGCAAAAAGTGGTTCTGTAAGATGATACTAGTGTCCACTTTGTAATTACTGATTTTATACCTTTACAGTGATTCAGTGATGACATTAATCCTGTTTCTGGGTGATGACACCATGTTGCCAATATTTCAGAGGAACATGGTGCCCCCATCTTCGGGGTCAAAATGACTGATGTAAAGATGCAGTCAAGTAATACAAAGTGATAGAATAGTGGTCACTAAAAACAATAGGGAAAGTCAGAGGAGATAGAACACTGTTCAGGCCAACAGGATTAGTGACCATGGAATAATGAAAAAATATCCCTTAGGGCTTTTAAGCTTTCTCACTATCCAATTTTCATCGTTCCTATTGACCCAGACAAAGCCAACATGGTTCCCTGACCTCAACCCATTTGGAGAAATGCAAAGCAAAATGCTTACAGATATAGTTCTCACACAGCTGAACGACCACAGGAAAACATTCAAAGGGAAACTTTCAATGCATGAATTTAAACTTTTTATGGAGGTACCAGGAATTAGTATGGAACAACAGGTTATCTTACATTTGGTTTCAATACTCTGCACATCATAAAGATATACCATCATGATCAGACCTTTTTTAAAACAAAACATTCATCTCTCTACATTGCATACAACTTTTACCAGTCAGTACCCATTGTATTCCTGAATTACATATCATTTAAAATGTGAGAACACTGTGACATGACTAAATTACAGAATGAATGAAAGGTCCCAAATTATGGTACAGTAAATAATGAAACTCAACATATATACAGTAAACTCCCAGCTATCCGATATCAAAAAATCTGGAATTTTCACACAACCAGCAAAAATGTCAAATAAGATTTACAATTTTCATGAAGTTATTCAAAACTAAATTTGTAATGTGCATACATCCACCCCTCAAGTGGAAGTTCTCCCAGTAGCCACTAGCGGTACTACCTCACACAGTAAGGTGCCAGTACAGTGGGAGCTAGATGAATTTGTGACTGACTGCACAGTATCTGAAATCTTTCTCCAATCAAACCACTATGTGGCCTAGGAAAACTCTCACGCAAGAGATAAAGTAAAAACCATGCTGTTTTGAATTAGTACTGGGATTCCAGAATATTTTTCTCATGAAACCAGCATACCCGATTCCCAGTATGTTCCAGATAATGGGGAATTCACCCTATAAGAATGGTAATGAAATTTGGCAATATCTTCATAATTTACTCTTAAAGTGAAGAGTAGCTTTATCATAAAAAATGTAAGTTAATTTATTTTGGATACCTTCATTTAAATATTTACTAAATACAGAGAATTTTCAACTTTGCTGTCCAGTTCACGGCTCTGCACTTCACTGCAACTTGTGCACCTCCGTCTGTGAGGTGCATACAAATTCTGCCCAAGAAATCAGCATACCTGATGGCCAATAACGGTTGGGATGAAGGGAAATAATTAACTTGTGGGCCACTTGATAGCATTATGCTTCACAGTGAGTGGTGCGGTTCATGTGTGGGAGTTTGGTTATGATTTGTCAGCAGTTCTCAGTTCCATGAGCCATTTGATCTCAGCTACAGTTAGTGAGCAGTGTAGTACGTGATGGTATGGTATACTTTAGAGCAATGTGTATTTCTGTATGACACCTGTGTGAAATATGGATCTGCTGGAAAGTGTCGGCAAATATTTCAAAGGAAATTTTGTGATGAAAAAATTCCCAACAAACAATTCACAATTTGGTGAATAAACTAAGAACAATGGGACCCTTAACAGACAAGAATCAAAAACATAAACATCAAGTGCTTACTGAGAAGTTACATAACATATGGGCCAGACTTAAACATATGCCTAGAAAATCACTGAAACATCTAGCTTAAGAGACTGAAGCATCAAAGTTTAGCACAAGAAGAGCAACACAATTGCTGAAGCTTACAACCTATAAAACAACAGTAATCTACACCCTGCAGTCATGCGATCCAGCTAGCATGGTTCATTTCTGCATTTGCTTACTACAGTCTGTCACTGAAGATGAGATTGATCCCGAACTGACGTTCTTTTCTGATGAAGCATGGGTTCTCTTGCAGGGATACATAAATGCACAAAATAACTGCTACTGGTGTACAAAGAATCCACATCTAACCCATGAAGTCCTGCTCCATCCAGTGAAAGTTTGTCTGGTGTGCTGTTAAGTGCAAGGATTGTTGAACCTGTGTTTTTTAACGAAACAATTAATTATGAAAGATATCTACATGTAGAAGGACAGCATTTTCAACCCCTCCTGTGATCTGTAAATTGAAAACTACTTCATTCCGAATGTTATCAGCCGTCAGGCATACTGATTCATCAACAAAATTAGTATGTGCCTTGCAATAAGTGGCGCCCCAGTCACTGTAAAGAACAGAGCCATGGAACCGGTCAAGAAAGTAAAGATCCTCCATATATTTCTTTACTTGTGTATCTATTTAAAGTGCATCATTTGTGAAGAGATTTAAAATATCCAGGTACTACAGGGTTGGCAGCTGGATTGTTACTCAGGCATAACTGTACTATAATACCCAACCAGCTGGAATACACTTCTGTGCCACTGCAGTAATGCCATGTATGACCTGTAAAGTTTAAATTCTATGTACCATTCGCTTGGCTTCTATGAACTTTCAAAGTTCAAAACTTATCAAAACAAAAAAGTAAATTACAGTACATCTGAAATAATCAGAGTGTTACCATTACCAGGATCAAAGTCAAGAGGAAGTTCAGGCTTTAGAAGAGGCATATCATTATAGTTAAGCTGTGAAATATCAGAATCAGAACCAGTGCTCCTCATTAGATTGTGATCATGAGAAACGACAACATGTCCATCTCTTGTTATATGGCAGTCAAGTTCCAGCATATCTGTTCCAAGCTCTAGAGCACTGAAACAAAAACAAAATGCTTATTAAATTCTGTAAGTTACAGTAGACAACCTTTAACAATTGGATTTAAATCTCCACCTAACAAAGCATTGGCTGCCAGATTGAAACTTTGGTTGCAATGGGATTTATACCCTAGACTTGCAGAAGAAGCCACAGCTGTAAGATACATGGATGCTTAAGGTTAACAAATGAGTGAGGAAATACACGCTCAGTGTGATGATAAAGGTTAACCACAACATGAGTGAGGAAATGCAAGCTCAGTGTAACCACAGAGATATTTTAAATTCACAACTACCATCCTAAGAATGATTAATTGTAATATAAAAGGCTCAAATTAAATCGACTGCACATCATGGGTACTGTAAAAGAAACTGACATGTGACAGAGGATGATGTTTACACACCCTTCTGAACTCTTCTACATTGAAAAGCATTTATAAGATAATGTATTGGTAACAAACTTGAAACAACATACCGCTGAAATGCTATCATGGTATTTTCATAGTTTTCTCCAGCTCCTGCAAAAATAAAAACGCAAATTACTAACTGAAATTGCAGATGGATTGTTTTATACTTTGTTTGCATGCCTTCATCCTTAACATTGTTCTGTGCAATTTTAATAACTGCCTTACATCGCCAACACTCTTAATGCTGCGATCTTGAGATGATCTGCTGCAATACATGTTTCCATGTCATGTTCTGCAATATTTACATTCATAACCATAACAGACTCACCACCCCGGTGACTTATGTGGCGACATTTAAATTTTAGCTGTTTTCTTTTGTGTATGAAGTTAGGATATTTGAAAAAGAGAACTGATGTGAGGACGTAACCCCCTAATATTGCAAAGAACATCATTATCACAATGCTGCACATAAATATTCCGTGTTTTAACCGCTTTCTAATTTCCTGCCCTCTTCTTGCGCCTACAGCGCCTACAGTTGTCCTCAGCGCATATGTCAACCATATTCCATATCCAAGGGCACGAGCACAGATACGAGCGATACGAGAGGGCGTGAGCGGTTATTAGCAGTTATGAGATGAGCGAGGTAAGCGAGTAAGCGAGTGCCGAAGTCGAATTGAATGAGATTTTGCGCATGCGTACGATTTCTTCCAGAAAAAAGAAAGATTTACAAGAAGAAAGAAGCGCGTTCGGCCACAGGTATGTTTTTTTGTAAATGCTTATTTCTTTTACTGGAATAAATTATAGTGTATTTCGAATGATAACATTTGCTATAGAAATACAATTTTTAATCAGATCGATATTTGTGGTCACTTCTGATACGCCAGACATCAGCGCTCCCACTTGGTCGGGCGGTGGCGGTGGTAGTGTACGAAAAGTCAGTGGCAAGGAATTCGGAGTGGTACAAGCAATTAAAAGTAAATATTAGTCTATTTAAATAGTAAATGTAAAACAGAAAAGTATAAGTGGGTTGCTGTAATGTGTATGTGTAATATGCATTTCTTTTGTTCATATTTAGTTACGTAGTTTTAAGATTAAAGCAAGCCGGCGACTGAAAGACAAAGAAATTGGATTTGCTGTCAAAACCTAACCTAGCTAAGAAATTACTGATGCCATTGACACTGTCGATTAATTTCACATAATAGAGATAGGAAAACCACATCTTTGCCTTTTTCAGATTTACGTGCTGGTAAGGTATAAGACATGAGTTCAGAAATGACTAATGAAGCACCTCAGCAGGAAGCAATGGAGGTGGACATTGATGGAGACCGGACTGAATTGAAACAGGAACCAGAAGATACTACAATGAACGGCGACGAAAAAGTTAATGGGGAAGAGCAAGGAGCAGCAAAATCTGGGATTTTTAAAGTAAAAGTTAGTGGTCTCCCAAGGTTTTATCCATTAGGGGTAAGTACAGTCGAAGTAATTATAGATTTATTTCAGTCTTTGTGGTACTGTGGAGGATTTTTGGTATCTGTGAAGTCCTTAGCCCTCCTTACAAAACCAGGTGTTACTGCACATTTTAATATTATAAATGCTTTAAATGTATATCCATAATTATGCAGTTTATGAAGATATTGATTTTTCTCATGTCTGACACACAGTCATGACAGTATTAATATTTTTCTATAAAAAATCTAAAAAGAAAATGCCGAGGTCAAGAAAGTGTAGATCTATACATCCACTCCCCCATATGCTTCATGGCATAGTGCTTAATTAGTTAAGCAGAGAAACAACTTTATCTTCGCATATATGAGAAAGGCTGGAATTGTGTAATGTGTTGGGAGTCAAAATCACATTTAGCTAGAAGGATGGAGGTTATGTTGCATGTATGTATCACAGTAAATAACAATGTGGAAGGGTGTTGGGGACATATAAGGAACATGTTACTTTTAAAATTAAACTCATGAATCTGAATGGTTCTCTGGCACAGTATTTGCTGGATAACTGAGTAAACTGCATTTGTTAAGATATTAGTCCCATTTACTGCATTGGCTACAGGAAGAGCTCTCATAAATAAATGAGTGCAACAGTTCTTATTAAAATGTTCCCCTTAAATTTTTGTGTCATGATTCTTAGTTTGTAAGTATTGTTAATGTACGTGGGTAGGCTGAAAAGTAATGCACACATGCTTATAGAGCGCGAACAAAAACAAATAGCAAGATCGGGCAAAAAGTACATTAAAGTACAATTCTTAAGTTTCAAAAGCATATATTTATTTTTCGACATAGTCACCGTTAAGGCTAACACATTTCTCCCAACGTGTAACAAGTTTTTTCATTCCGTCACTGAAAAATTCTTCTGACTTTTCTCAAATCCAGGACTTGATAGCTGCCTTCACCTCATCGTCCAAGGTGTAATGATTACCCTTGAGGTCTCTCTTGAGTAGAGGGAAAAAATAAAAATTGCAAGGCGCAAGATCGGGGGAATAAGGAGGGTGTGGAATCGGTTCAAACTTCAGGTTTCGCAGAGCCTCTTCAGTTGTGCACGAGATGTGTGGACGAGCGTTGTCATGTTGCAAGATTATTGGCGCCAGGCTGCCTCTAACATGACAAACTCAACGCCGGAGGTGTTTTAGAGTCTGTATGTACTGTGAAGAATGTACCGTTTCCCCTCGTTCCAGAAAATCGGTCACATAAACTCGATGAGCATCTCAAAACACAGTCAAAAGAAGTTTTTTGGCGGATGGTTGTGTTTTGAACTTTTTCACCTGAGGAGAAGACGGATGTCGATATTCAGCGCTCTGTCTTTTCTCTTCCGGGTCGTAACGATGGACCCATGACTCGTCCCCTGTCACAATATTCAAAAGAAAGTTGTCTCCTTCATCATGGTAGCGCTGCAAAAGTTGCTTGCAGCATTCCAATCGACGCTGTTTGTTCTCGTCTGTGAGACGGCATGGTACCCATCGTGCACAGATTTTACGGTATCCCAATTGTTCAATAATGAAGCCGACATGTTCCTTGGATATTCTAACATGGTTTGCGATACGCTTTTGAGTGATTCGCCGGTCATTTTGAATCAAATCGTTGAGTTTGCGATGATTATTGTCTGTGGCAGTGATCGGATGTCCACTGCGTGTTTCATCAACAATTATGGCTTTTCCAGGCTAGCAACTACAAAATTTTATTACCCATCGATTTACAGTAGACCTATCAAAAGCATCGTCACCATAAACAGCCTTTAAACGATGATGAATCTCAGTAGGAGTCACTTTTTCAGCAGTTAAAAATTCGATAACAGCACAGAGTTTAACTCGCGTTGACATAGCACTGGAACACATCTCCATACTTTCCGCTTCTCGAAATACACTGGATGAACGCAACGACCTCAAACCTGCGGATGCGTATTGAGGGGGAATGTTACTTCCACATGCCACCTGGTGCGCTTCTGAAGGTCATTTCGTTCGCGCTTTACAAGCATGTGTGCATTACTTTTCAGCCTACCTACATAAAACAGGAAGTTAACATAGGATAGAATGTCATTGTTAAAGAATCATTTGTATGCTCTTGTTATCCATTGTAAGGCCACCGTTGTTGTATTCTCATAAATGGATTAATGTAAGGTGCCATACGTCACGGGAAAAATAGAGGACCTCTGTTTTTAAGATTGTCTTTTGGGATACCTGTTTTACCTGTGAGGTAGCAGACTGAGTGGACTCCAGAGCTGGGCAGGACATGGTGGTAAAGAAATCATATCCTAGCAGATATTGGTTCCTATTCATTCAGTCCATAGGTAATCACTTTACTAACTGAGCTATTTTATGTTCAGTGTTTCGTTATATTCAGTACTTTGTACAGATTTTTAGCTCCTCCACAGTGTCCAGACTGGCTCTCTGGCTCACGCAGCCTCTTCTCATTCATTTATTCACATTCCATAAGATCTTTTCAAGGTCGAAAAACAACCAGTTGGATATAGAAATCGTCAAGTAGCTTAATCACATCTTGATTATCAATCAAGTAGCTGTCAAAAAACAATAAATAATAGATAAGGTTTCCATTAGTCATAAAAGAATTAATCTTAAAAACAGTAAAAACATTGACAGGTTTAGAATAAAAAATTCAGTCAAAATATTATGTACAAATCTTGCTTATACATTGAAGCAATTATCTAAAAACCAGTTTATAATACAAGAATAGTTTAGAATGTTAATATAACATTTGAGAGCCTAGCAATACCATATGGAGACCTTTAAAGTATAGCCGAGTGGCCGTGCGACACCGTATGGGTACGCGCAGTCCAAGCGTCTGCACAGTGTTTTAAAATCTAATTTAAAGATAGAAATTCTTGTTCTACTTACATTATTTTTGGGCACCCGCTTTATAAGTAGACAGTCTTCCCTCCTGCGTCATCTAACTGAATGCAGAGTCCGACGTCAAAATTCATGCACTTTGTCCAGATGTAATTCCATTTCCCACGCGAAAAGCACACACGACACCTCAGTCTCGTATTAGAGGAAGTAGGCCAGTGATGTCGAGTTGCCTCCTCTAATCGTAACACTTATAAAACATCGCAATTTCAACTATCCACCATGGCGTCATTTCACATGTAAGAAGCCGAAATGGAGAGGCCGCTGATAAATGACACCGATTCAGAATGCGGTACAGAGGACTCTGAAAGTGGCGAGGAAGCAAGGAGGCATTGCGGGGATATTCCAAGAACAGTACCTCTGTGTGGCTAGTCCGAGATATAAACAGGCAAAGTTTCTGAAGGACAAAGTACGATAAGACTTTGCCCACACTTGTGCATACAGAAAGGTTCCAGCTGACTGTAGAATGTGCAATACAAACATAAACTTCCTCCCCTTTTGCCAGATAAGACATAGTAAGACAGTATGTCAGCAGCATGCATTTATACTGCAGAAACGTTTTGTGCAGAAACTGTATACATATTTGTGGACAGACACTCAAAATTGGGAAAAAAAAAGTTTTTGNAAAATTTTGGAATCCGTAACAATTTTTACAGATTTTAAAATCTGTAAATTACAATATCTGATTCTATATTCTTTCTAGATAAAAGCAGCGTTTATTTCGTTCGTTTATCACAAAAATTATAGAAATCACAGCATTTTCAGTAACATGCTTGCAATTTTTAATACTCTACAATGGTGGACATTTAAATTAACTCCACCCTGCTGCCATTACGGGAATTTAAATGGCCCGTCTCTTGAAGGTTAATTAATGATAATAGTTGTAACTAAACATTGACAGTATAAGATAACAAATTGAGTATAATTGGTAATAAGAAATGCAAGTAATAATATGTACAATTTAAAAAGGCTTAATCACATAAAACCTGTTTTGTCAGATAGTTAAGTTTCATACTAAAAAAACTTTAATCCAACTACCATATTGCCATAATTATATATTATAACCATAAAACATCATCTCATAAAAAATTCATCCAATGTATAAAAAGAATTAAAGTACAAAAGTTCCTTTAATTTGTCTTTAAACTGTTTTATATCCTTTGAAATTAGCTTGAGTGAGTTGGGAAGTGCATTATAAATCCTTACCGCCATATGATACACCCCATTTCCATATATCGCCAAATTTACTTGGGTCATGTGTATGTCCATAATGTGTCTGGTATTAATTTCATAGTGAGCTTTGTTTGTATCAAATATTTCTCTGTTTTTTACAATAAACATCATCAAGGAGTATATGTATTGTGATCTTAATGGAAATATATACATATCTTTAATATGTTCTCTACACCAATCTCTAAAACCACATCCTTTCATTATTCTTACAGCTCTGTTTTGTAGCTTGAATACTCTTTCAGCATGAGACGAGTTACCCCAGAACATTATACCGTAGGACATGACAGAATGGAAATGTGAGAAGTAAACACTTCTTGATGTTTTCATGGAGACTGTTTGTTTTACATTTCTTATTATATAGCAGGCTTTGTTCAGTTTCTTTATTATGTCTTGTATATGACCATCCCAAGTTATGTCATTTTGGATTTTCAGGCCAAGAAATTTAGTGTAATTAGCACATGTTATAGTAGCACCAAGTTCTCCCAAATCCCTATCACACCTAGTTCTTGCAGTGAAGTTTATGTAGTGTATTTTTATTATATTGAGAGACATTAAATTCTTTTTAAACCAATCATCCAAAATCCTGTGTACTTCATTTATTTTAGTTTTGAATTTTATTGTATTTGCGTGAGAAATTAACACACAGGCATCATCAGCAAAAAGTAGGGTGTACGCATCACCTCCAATAGCTTTGGTAAATCATTAATATATATTATGAACAGCAGTGGTCCAAGAATGGATCCTTGTGGGACACCACTGGTTATTTTATCCCACCTTGAGTTTACTTTGCTCCTGTCTAGTCCATTAAAAATTTCAGTTCTCTGTTTTCTATTTAAAAGATATGATGCAAATAGATTATATTGTTTATCCTTTATTCCATAGTACCTTAATTTGTTTAATAATATTTCATGGCTAACACAATCAAAAGCCTTTTCTAAGTCACAAAAAATTCCACTCCAGTGGGTACTGGGAGCAATTTCCTCAGGGATAAAGGTACCGGGGCGTGAAGCTGATCGCTTCCATCTGGTGCTGAGGTCAAGAATTGTGGCGCTATACCTCCATTCCCCCATGTGTGTTCATGGCATAGTGCTTAATTAATTAACTTAGTTGTGCAGTAATCCATCTGACCTGTATGCAGGGAGTACTCACTTTGCATATTTGTTGTAGAGGTAACTATACTGAGGTTTTTTGTTGTGTTACTTAGTTTCGTGAGATAAATGGATTACAGTACCTTTCAGTAGGTCACAGGTGTCACATATATCTCCAAATTCTATTTCATTGTACCTCTGGGTTTGCTGTAGCATTGCTAGAAAACTTTGGAAACAGTCCATAAATAACATTCTTAATACAGGAATTCAAAAAATTGGTCAAAGAGGAGCTTGGTTTGGCGCTGAGCTACATTCGATCACCTAAAAGAGGCAATCCATGGCTCCATTTGACATTTGGAACTGCTGAGGAACAGCAGAAAGCAATGAAGGTCCTTCACAAATACACATGGAGAAAGAAAACTTTAACTTGCAGTGTAAGTATATCTATTTTCTTTTGGGGTTTGGTTACCCCATCTTTGATTTTCTGAGTTCGTTCAGTATTGGACTTTATGCTGTTAGAGTGATCTTTCCATTTCCTTCTAGACTTTCCATATCTTGCTCTCCTCGTGTGGAAGCTACCTCAGGAATTCTGTTGTCTTTTATACCCTGTATATGTTATCTCTCATTTAACCTATCATTTTGTAGTCATTAACTATGTTTGTAATTTGCAGTCTGTTTATTTCATAATTATGTAAATGGTCTCTTTACAAGTTTGAAAGGACAAGCTTGGGCAGGCAACATCGTTAACAGTTTATTATTTGAGTATGTAAATATACCTTATGTGAATGTTTAAAGTTAAATTTGACATAAGTAGTATTTATATTCTCATTTGACCACAAGTTCTGACAGCTAGGGACTGTATTATTCCTCAAGGGTGCATAGATTCTCTTTGAGACTACAGGTCTGTGGTCTTCTAAGTGGCACAGTGCCATGGCCTTGCAACCATATTGAAATTATGATAGGCTAGGCCAAAGACATAATATGTAACATCAACAAATAAATCTATTGGTGTTATGTAATGTTTTTGTAATACTTTTCACTGTGTCCACATGTTGATTTGGTAATAGGACACAGTTCTGTTATTTAAGATTGTGATCTTCTTAATTGTGATGCCACATAGTTTTGTTTACATGTACAGGTGTTTTGGAGGAACATGCTGCCTCCATGTTCAAGGTTGAAAGGTATAAGTTTAGAAATAGGCTTAGTTATATAGAGAAGTTAAGGGAGGATGGTCACGAGACCCAGGAAGAGGACATGAAGGAATCTGCTTCTGTCTTGTGGGGTTAAACTGACAAAAATGGACTTAAAATGGCCCTTATGAGGAGCATGCTAGTTTATTGTCAAGGTGGGAACTTGAATAGTGGGACAGAATTGGCCCTTTTCAGGGTCACAGTTTTTTCACACAGGTGAGATATTTGAAATTGAGAAGGGGAAGATAATGTTCCTTTTCAAGGCCCCAGTGGATAGAAAACGGCGAAACCGTCCTTTTTGTTCCATGAAGGCACCAGGTAGAGGAGCATCATTTATGAGGAAGTAACTGGTTTGCTCTTGGAAAGGATTTTCCTTTCCTTCATGGAGTGGATGAGGTGTCTCCATGATATACTTAGAGAGAATGTCTTCTCTACTGATATTGTTGGGGTGGAGCTTGATCTGTCACTTTCTCCAAGAGCTGACCTTTGTGCCTGGGCTTCTTAGCCAGATGTTGATGTTCTTCAGCAGGATATGATGACCCAGGTCAGTACTGTGATCTGCTGTTTAGAAGTCAGCCACAGTGTCTGAGTGATAGAGCGGATTTGATTCAACACATTAGTCATGTCCATGATTTATTTTATCCGTCTTCTAGTGCATACATTTATTTATCCCCTCCTTTCACTCTCACTACATGTTTCGGCACCAATGTGCCATCTTCAGGTGCTGATCCAATCCACGACAAACTAATTCATTGCATGCCTTGTCTTTACATACTAAAATAACTAAAATATATATTTATCATATATACTGACAAATGTCAAGTGTTAAAATACTAAAACTGTACAGCATATTTCTTTCCTACGTCGTGTTTCATTACGCGAGTCACGTCTATCATCCTCTGTTGGAGCACTCTCTC